GAAACCCATCTCACATGCAAGGATTCACAAAGGCTCAAAATAAAGGGCTGGAGGAATATTTACCAAGCAAATGGAGAGCAAAAAAAAAGCAGGAGTTGCAATTCTCATCTCTGATAAAATAGACTTTAAAGCAACAAAGATCAAAAGAGACAAAGAAAGACATTACATAATGGTTAAAGGATCGATACAACAATAAGCGCTAATGATCCTAAATATATACGGACCCAATACAGGAATGCCCAGATACATAAGGCAAGTTCTTAATGACTTACAAAGAGACTTAGACTCCCACACAATAATAGTGGGAGACTTTAAGACTCTACTGTCAATATTGGACAGATCAACCAGACAGAAAATTAACAAGGATATCAAGGACTTGAACTCAGAACTGGAACAAGCAAACCTAATAGACATTTACAGAACTCTCCACGCCAAATCCACAGACTATACATTCTTCTCAGCTCCACATCACACCTACTCTAAAATTGGCCACATAATTGGAAGTAAATCACTTCTCAGCAAATGCAAAAGAATGGAAATCATAACAAACAGTCTCTCAGACCACAATGCAATCAAGTCAGATATGAGAATTCAGAAACTAAATCAGAACTGCACAGCTTCATGGAAACTGAACAACTGGCTCTTGAATGTTGACTGGATAAATAATGAAATGAAGGCAGAAATGAAGAAGTTCTTTGAAGCCAATGAGAACGAAGACACAACATACCAGAATCTCTGGGACACATTTAAAGCAGTCTCTAGAGGAAAATATATAGCAATAAGTGCCCACATGAGAAGAGTGGAGAGATCCAAAATTGACACCTTTTCATCAAAATTGAAAGAGCTAGAGGAGCAAGATAAAAAAAACTCAAAACCTAACAGAAGACAAAAAATAACTAAGATCAGAGCAGAACCGAAGGAGATAGAGACACGAAAAACCCTTCAGAATATCAATATATCCAGGAGCTGGTTTTTTTAATAGATCAATAAAATAGACAGACCACCAGCCAGATTAATAAAAAAGAAAAGAGAGAATAACCAAATAGTTGCAACAAAAAACGATAAAGGGGAAATCACCACAGATCTCACAGAAATTCAAACCATCATCAGAGAATATTACAAACTCTATGCACATAAACTGGTAAACCTGGAAGAAATGGATAAATTCCTGGACACTTGCATCCTCCAAAGCCTAAACTAGGAAGAAGTCAAAACCATGAATAGACCAATAACAAGATCTGAAGTTGAGGCAGCAATTAAGAGCCTACCACACAAAAAAAGCCCAGGTCCAGATGGGTTCACAGCCGAATTCTACCAGACACACAAAGAGGAACTGTTACCATTCCTTCTGAAACGATTCCAAATAATCCAAAAAGAGGGAATCCTTCCCAAATCATTTTATGAGACCAACATCATCCTGATACCAAAACCCTGCAGAGACCCAATAAGAAAAGAAAATTTCAGGTCAATATCCATGATGAACAAAGATGCAAAAATCTTCAATAAAATACAGGCAAGCCGATTGCAACAGCAAATCAAAAAGCTTATCCACCATGATCAAGTAGGATTCATCCCGGGGATGCAAGGCTGGTTCAACATATGCAAGTCTATAAACATAATTCACCACATTACCAGAACCAAAAACAAAAACCACATGATTATCTCAATCAATGCAGAGAAGGCCTTTGATAAAATTCAACAGTTCTTTATGCTAAACACCCTCAAGAAACTCAGTATTGTCAGAACATATCTCAAAATAATAAAAGCTATTTACGACAAACCAACAGCCAATATCATACTGAATGGGCAAAAAATGGAAGCATTCCCTTTGAAATCTGGCACTAGACAAGGATGCCCTCTCTCACCACTCCTATTCAATATAGTACTGGAAGTTCTAGCCAGAGCAATCAGGCAAGAAAAAGAAATAAAGGGTATTCAAATAGGAAAGGAGGAAGCCAAATTGTCTCTATTTGCAGATGACATGATTGTATATCTAGAAGACCCCATTGTCTCAGCCCAAAATCTCCTGAAACTGATAAGCAACTTCAGCAAAGTCTCAGGATACAAAATCAATGTGCAAAAATCACAAGCATTGCTATACACCAATAACAGACTTAAAGAGAGCCAAATCAAGAATGAACTGCCATTCACAATTGCTACAAAGAGAATAAAATACGTAGGAATACAACTAACACGGAAATTCTACAGTGGTGCTTAGAAAACTGCATTTTAGTTGATTCCTCCTCAGATCATTTTGGACTCAACTTTGGAAAATCATGCCCTCCGGAGTTTAACTGTGTGAAAATCAGTTTCCAATCTCTTATTGAGCAGCCAATATTTTCTGGCATTGATTAGGCAATACTAATTCAATATGTGATTCATTAATGATATACACCTGCACTCAAAACTCAGAGTTTAGAATCTTGACAACATGTGAGGAAAAACTTTGAAGTTCTTAGATCACTAAAAACACAACAAATGTTAAATTGTCCAGGAGATAAATTCTTTAAAATGAAGTCTACTGCCAGTTTGCTCTCAGATTGCCAGTATTCAAGTAGTAGCTATGCTTCCATCCAAAGACATTTTCTTACACTACATTAATGGAAAGTCAAGAGAAGTCATGTTCTTATCACTAGTTAGAGTTTATTCAAATGTTGAAAAATAGGTACTGATATTTTGATCATACATAGTGGCATTAATTTTGTTTTACATTGCTTTATTTTCTTTCCAAAATTGTATAAGCTTGCCTTATAGACACAAATTGTCTCACTAGATTTAAAATAAAGTTTTCTGTTTTGCAATACCTGCTACTTCTTTTCTTTCTTTTCTTTTTTTGAGACAGTCTCGCTCTGTCAGCCAGGTTGGAGTGCAGTGGCGTAATCTAGGCTCACTGTAGCCTCTTCCTCCCGGGTTTAAGCAATTCTTCTGCCACAGTCTCCTAAGTAGCTAGTACTAAAGGCGTGCGCCACCACACCTGGCTAATTTTTGTATTTTTAGTAGAGACTGTGTTTTACCATGTTGATCAGGATGGTCTTGATCTCCTGACCCTCATGATCCACCCACCTCGATACCTGCTATTTCTTAATGATTCATGATTCAGTATTTAATCATAATTATTCTTTCAAAAAAATGACACAAAAGGAAAATAAAAGCTTTGTTTAGGCATTCCTATGTATGAACTCATTTAAAAATGTATGTGTGTCAAGATTTCTTGATTAAAATTTAAAGAGGAAAATTAAGTATCTGAAAACATGAGTAAAAGGTATAATTTGTGATCATAGGAATCTGAATGGCATTCTTGGAGAAATTTTTCTGTGAATCTCTACAAATGCTAATGGGAACCTTAGAGTTAGAGAAACATCTGATAGCATCAACACAGTATCTCATTGCTATGACATTCTGTCATGGGCTTCCAATATAACATACCCTTTTCCCTCATCAAAACAAAGTGGCAGCATTGAGGGTAAAGTACGCCTTGCTTCAGAGTGGTCCTTTCTTAAAAGAAGTTTATTATGTGACAGAAATCTCTGTTGACTGTAGCAAAATTGGACTAAAGGCCCCATATTGCACAAATCATTGAGATAAGATATGTGCCATGACATGACAAGAGCCTTAGAAAACTCCAATAGCTCACCAGCTGGGCTGGAGAGATAAACTCCAAATAGGACAGAATTACCAGCCTATATGGAACTTTGTGGCTGAAATCTATGCAATTCTTTACTGAGCATGTAACTAAAGGAAGCAGTGGCTTTATTTCTTGCATGTCAGGAAACTCACTTCTCCAATCTAACACATCCACCTGACATATTTAAGTCCCCTTCACCCATTTATTTGCCAATCTTGTGTAGGCAGTTACTGTGGTTTACTTATTGTTTTATACCCTGAAACAAAAATAGGCATATCTCAGTTTTCATTGCCTTAAATTTACTTACAAGTTGATATATTCCTGGAAAATCATCCTGCAAAGATTAACACCGTTAAATGCTTCATTTAAAATCAGATAAGAGAATATGTTCTTCAGGATGCTAATAACATGAAAAATAAAGTGGAGAATAAAGTAACTTCCTGTTAATGTTTAGGAATATGGGAAAAGACATTTTCAACTGTGAGCAATGAATTATATTTGTTCTTGGAATTCACAGAACTGAAAAGTTGCATCGGTATATTCCAACTAAATTTCATTTCTTTTGCCTCATTAGATTATTGAAAAGGAAGAGATGGAAGTTGTTTCAGATGTTGTATGTAAATAATTGCATTAATTCTATTTTGATAATGTGTATTTTAAACATATTTCATACTGGTCCAAAATTAATAATCAGATGTTAATAATTCTATTAAGTTCAGATTCCTTCAGGTATTTCTATGTATAAATATAAAGATAAGCTAACCCTACTTGACTGTTTCTGTCAAGATACTGGTTCTCAGCCTCCGCAAATCCAGGGAAACTGCCTCCTTCCTTCCATGATTCATTCTAAACTGTCAGTGTGTGCCACTTGTTAGACATCAGTAAGTTAAAACTTCATGACTCAGCTGAAATATCTAGGGTCAAATCCTTTAAGAAGTTAAATAGTAATTGTCATTGTGATAGGGACAGGAGGCAGAGAAATTCTAGGCAGAAAACTGCAAGTCCCTGTTGAAAATCCCACCCTCTAGCAGAAAAGCTGGAAACCGCAGCCCAGAGTAAGAACTTATATCCATATATCCCTGCTTGAATGTTGCCTTTTCCTAAACCACCCATGGCCCTGCCCTGCCCATCCTGTACCTATGAAAACCCCAGATTCAGCTGGCAGAGGAGAAGCAGCTGGATGTCAGAGACTGGAGCTGGATGTCAGAGGAAAGCGCCTTGAGGGACAGCGTGATGGCATAACTTCGGAGAAGAAACTAGCTGAAAATGGGTGGACTTTAGAGGAAGATTACTTACCGGCATCCTCTTTTCAGCTCCCCTTCCTGCTGAGAGCCACTTCATCTGCAATAAAATTTTCGCGTTTACCAGGCTTCAATTCACTCGTGTGACCTCATTTTCCCTGGATGGCCAGACACGAGCTCAGGAGCTACGAGTGAAGATACAAAATGCTGTCGCACTGACCCTTTGCCCTCACTGGCGGCTGGAGGGCATCCGCCCCACGCGATGAGGCAAAGGGCCCACCGAGCTGTTAACACTTCAGCCATTCACGGATGGCAGCGCTGAAAGCGCGCTGTAACAGCCCTCTGGGCTTCCGGAGTACCTCAGCTGGACACCGCCTCAGGACTCACACAGCGTTCGCTCCTTCCGGCGTAAGTGGCAGCCGGTTCCAGCGCTTACGCTCTCTAGTTCCCGCCTTTCCTGCTCGCACGCTCGCTCCAGCAAGGGCTGAATAAATGAGGCCCAGTGCGGAGTCTGCGAGAAGAGGCCGGTCAGGGAAATATCCTGCTTCATCTGGGGGGCTGTCCAACATTCGTCAGAAGGGTGAGTAAATGCGGATCTGCAGGATCTGTCTCTTCACTTTTTTCCAAGACATCTTTTCCTCAGACTGTCCTCTGAGCTACGCCATTTGCAGAAAACGGGGTGTAACTTGGCCACATCTCTTCTTTCGGGTGAAAGGAACGTTGTCTTTGTTTCCCTTCACCGACGTCTAGCCGACGTGTGGGACCAGAATAAGTACTGGGGCAACTGAAGGCATCTGGTCAAGGCCCCTTCTCAGTGTAGCGTCCCCAACCGCGCATTAAGGCATCGGCCAAGGCCCCCAAACTTTTCTATGGTATCTTTCTTTTCTTCTTTCACAGTTGAAAATAGCGCCTATTTCTTCTTTTATAATCTTAGGAGTTCTGCCACAAACGGCAGAAACGTTACTAGGTTCCAGATATGGAATATAAAACAATGTGATTTCCGTTTGTTCTTAGAGGTGCGACCTCCACTCCGACCCCAACAGCTGCAGGCGCGGGTGGTGCCCTGTGGCTCCCCTCCTCGCCCCCTCCTCCCATGTCTGGGGCTCTTGGGTGTGTCTGCAGCTGCGCCCAACACCCACGCAGGGCGGGAGAGAACCCTGGCTGCCTCCTAGGTACCAGGGCAGTCTCAGGGGCCCCACACGGCCAGTTGGCCAGTGTTTCCCGCTCACTGTCCCTGCTCGCAATGCTCCCATAGAGACTTTCTACCCCTGGCTGAGGGGTCTAGCTTGGTCTAGAGGAAGGATATAATTAAAGGAACCCATTTGCATTGAGCAAGAGGTTCTTCCCCCAAGTAGCCCCGTTGCACTTAAGTTGTTTTTTTTCTTTTTTCATTTTCTATGTGAGGAGGTTTTCTTTCCTACCTTAGCACCCTGCTTTTGGTAGGGAAACAACAAAGGAGTGACCCCAAGGGCTAATAACTGCAAATTTGGCAAAACCTACCTGGGACTTAATCTAAATTAATTCATGCACCCACTGAGACACCTTTTTTTCCAAACTCAGTTCTAAACTTTGGTTGAAGCCCAAGAAAAACAAGATCTGAGGGATGGAAAGCCAGGCAATGAGCAAAGTGTAAATTGGCAGGCTAATTATTGCTGATTAAGCCCCTTCTTCATGGAAGGAAGTGATGTTCCATCGCATAGGTTAGGCCCTGGAGAACCCAAAGGTTGCCAACGGTAGCGGGGTTGGAGGTGTAGGTGAGTGTGGATAACTCCTATTCTCTAGGGACTCCCTGCTTCACAGATGCAGGCCATAATGGCACACGTGGGTGGCATCCATCTAAGGTCACTGGGACTCTGGTATAAAACCACAGAAGAAAAAAAGGGGGATGCCTATTTTCTTTCTCCTCACACCCTGAGTTTTCATTGAAGGAGGGAAAGGAAATAAGGGACGCCTATTTCCCTCTCTCTCAGAATGGGCAACTAATGCCTCCACCCATGGGGAATTCAGAGTGGTGGGCTGAGTAAATGAGGCACCACTGTCATGAGTCTTCCAAAGGGGTCAAGGAAATATTCTGCTTCATTGTACACTGAGAAAAATGTTTACAGTAAGGTTTGGAAGATTCGGGACTGGTTCATAGAGATGTTTCAAATTAAGGGAGTAGAAGTTTTCCCCATAGTGCTAACTAAAAAGACATTGCAGGCAAAATGAATAGCAGTTACAAAATGGAGTTGACAGCTATAGAACATTTTAAAAAGTGCACAGAGTTCAAACCGCAAGAGTGCAGAAATGCATTCAGTAGAATCAAGAGAAATGACATGAAGCTGAAGGCCAAGGCCATAGTACTGAGAGCCATAAGCATCATTCAAAGTGAACTAGATTTCATCCAATAGAAGATGGTACATGGTTGAAGGATTTTATACAGGAAAATGATAGCTTGAAATTTATAGTTCAACAAGATTACTTAAAATTTGTATAGAAACTATAGTTACTGCAATCAGAAAGAAATAGAGTTTAGTTCCACAAACTCTAACTCACTTTCTTTTTCTGTTTTTCATCTCTTGGTTCCAGTGCAGGGGCCGATAATAAAAATCCTTTACAAATTAAGAATAGAAACTCAATCTAAAAAGAGCATTCAATGAAAACTTACAGGTAACATTATAACTAATGGTGAAAGACAGGGTATTTTTGTTCTAAGATCTAGAACAAGGCAGGAAAGTCTCACCAATCCTATTCAACCTTGCACTGGACATCTTAGTTAATAAATTAAGGCAAGAAACATAAACGTCACATAGGAAGTAATAAAAGAGTTTCTGTTTTCAGATGACATGGTCTTTAAAAAAGGAAGAAATAAAGTGTTTCTGCTTGCAGATAGCATGTTTTTCTGTGTTAAAATAAATCTTAGGGAATAAAAAAAATTTGAAGCTTATGGAGCTAACAAGTAAGTTTACTATGTTTAGCGTGTCTATATATGGTAAAGAAAAGTACTTAGACATACCAGGCCCATGAATTGAAAGATTCAATGTTGTTAAGATGTAACTTTTCTCCTAAATGATTACAGATTCAACTCAATCTCAATCTTGATTGGCCCCCAGGCTGGAGTGCAGTGGTGTGATCTCAGCTCACTGCAATCTCTGCCTCTTGAGTTCAAGTGATTCTCCTGCCTCAGCCTCCCACATATATGGGATTACAGGTGTGCACCATGCCTGGCTATTGTGTGTGTGTGTGTGTATTTTTAGTAGAGATGAGGTTTTGCCATGTGGGCCAGGCTAGTCTCAAAGTCCTGACCTCAGGTGATATATGCCTGCCTTGGCCTCCCAGAGTGCTGGGATTAAGGGCATGAGCCACCACACCCAGCCAAAGGTATGAACTTTTAAGTTACAATCGTTATTAAAAATATTAAAACAGAACCAAATCAGTCCATATTGAGATCTGTAAGCATGACTAACCTGTGAAAGGTAAAAAATGAGAGAAACTCAGGAGACATTCATCACCTCATATAATCAAAGTTAAAACTAATTATAATTAGAAAACAAAGATAAAATCAAACATACAAACAATTATTTTCTTAGGCCCAAATTCAAGTTGTTGAACTGATTAAGTAGAAATAAACAGATGTCCATACGAACTTTCTTTCCAGAAAGATAATCTCTTCATTTTCATTGTATTTAGCAAGCTTTTTACGATTCCTATCTGCTTCAAGTCTGATCATCTTAGTCTGAAGATTATTGCACATAATTTTGCTAATGACTTGGAAATTTTCCAAGTAGCTGACAAGATATGCTAATTATTATTGACCTTAGCCTAGCAAACACACCTAATGAGGAGAAAGTGTCATCTGTTCTAGGAAAGAGATTAACTAGCAATGGGCTAAAAAGTAGGTACTCCTAACTTGCCATCATCACATGTTAAAATGAGATTTGCAAAAAATTCTTTTACACCTCTCATAAGCAGTAATGCCTTTCAGAATAATAGGCTTATTTCATATAAAGAAACTAAAGCATAAGAAAAAATTTATTCTAACTTGGAGAGTTTGTTGATTCTGGATGGAGACCTGTCATTAGGGAAAACAGAGGTAATTTACATTACCGAAGTCAAAATTTGCAATGAATTATTTATTATTTGAAACATTGATTGTGTTTCATTTTGTGCTTATGTTTAGAACAGTAATACAAACTGAAAAAGAAATTAAAGGGATAGAGGAAAACAAAAAGTCCCAGGAGATTTGCAAAGAGACTCTCAAACAAATGAGACAAAGTAGAAATAACAAAACAGAACAAAACATTTTATGAAATAACAGATGAAACAGGATTATTGAGAGAAAATTGAAAATTATAAATGGTTGAATAGGTGAAGGCAATGTGAAAGGCAGTAGACTCTGAGTGAGTGCTCCAGTAATGCAGTAATGCCTGAGTTGAAAAATGAAATGTAAACACTACCAGATTCCAGAACTTATTGGGAGTAGGCATGTAGAGAGTGATGTGGGAGGAAGTTCTGAACTATTTTATGTAGACACTAATAACTACTCTATTCACCTGGAAGAGTTGATATTTCTAGGCAACTCTCCATATGGTTCAAATATTTGATTTTCTTCCTTTGATCTGTCTGTGATTATGACAGCTAATCAAATACTCCAGGATAAAAATAGTGACTTTAGTCAACAAATATGTCTAAAACCAGTAGTGGCCCATGTGATTTCATAGCACTTTCTTATACATTCTGAAAGATAGGACAGGATTGTGAGCATATTTCACACTGAATCACCAGCCCTCTGAAGTTCCTATGTTACTAATAGATTTAATGTCGCTATTAAATTAACTAAAGTAACTAATATTTGTTTATAATTTACATTACCAAATTATAAACAAATATTAATATTCGTAGTTTTTCTCAAATATTGGTTATAAATTTCACAACAGCTCTAGTTGCTGTTATCCTAATTGTGTACCTAAGGAAATGGTGGCTCTGAAGGTGAAGTTGCTTTTCTGCAATTATGCAGGTATGCAGTGTGAAAGCCAGGTTCAAACACAGCTGGATTTACTTCTTTTACTTCAGAAATAACACTCATTTCCTTTCATCACCTCACCTCATTTGTCCTTTGCTTAATGCCATATAACCTGAACTTTACCCAAAACTGTTGCTTCAATTTTTCCTGAAGTATCATCAAAACAGAATTATCTCTTGATACTAAGGAGAAATAATTTCAGAGACACTAATAGATTTTAAATTCCTCCAATCATTTAAACATACACTGTTCCTTAAATGGCTGTAAAGTCTAACTGAAAAAAAAAAATGAAACTCTCAGACAGATAAAGGAAACTACTGCATACAGAAAATAAAAGTTTGGTGCATATCAATGATATAAGCAAGGCTTATTCTCAACCACCCTCTTTTGGTGCATTATTTAAGTTCATGACTCAGCAAAGTTATAATGACATATTAAAGAACATGTTTTGGTAGTTCCTGAATATTTAAAGCTGAATATATAGTTTTGGGATGAAAGGGCTTAGTGTATCCATAATTTTTCCCCTTTTAAACAGTAGGTTTGGCCGGGCGTGGTGGCTCACGCCTGTAATCCCAGCA